CGGGCGGTGCCCCAGGCCCAGGCCCAGGCCCGCTTCCCGCATCTGCCTCCTCTTACGGCGAGGGGGTTGGAATTGGGTCATCTCCAAGATCCCTTCCACCTCCTGCCCTGCTGGGATCCTGTGAGCAGGCGCTGCTGCCCCTCCGGGCCCCGGCAGGCGGGCAGTGCCCAGCCCGGGCCTGTACCCACAGCCCGGGGCAGGAATTACCCTGTGGGAAACTGCAGGGTCAACTGATGGCGTTTCCCAGCGGTGCTCGCCAGCGTTTCGCTTCAGGAATACAAATATTGAATGCTCCACAGTAAACAGGCTGCTGGAGAGGGGCTAGGAAAGATGCTCCTTCATCTCCCGTGAAACAAACTGTTGGTCCTGATGCAGCCCCGGGAGCTGTTCCCTGGCACCACAACAGGTGACACCCTCAGGGCTGTGCGGTGTCCTCGCCTCTGTTTTGCAGTACACGCATCTGAAACAGCTCTGATGGGCACACAAGAAGTACTTTGTGTCCCACTGGTCAGCACTGAGTTAAGGCAAGAGCGTGACACGACTCCAGTACCCGCGTGACTGGGTGAAACGGCATCTTTGCTCTGCCAGACTGATGAAACATCATCCTCAGCATAGACACGACTCCAGTACCCGCGTGACTGGGTGAAGACGGGTGTGAAATACATCCTGCTGAGAGAAACTGCATCTTTGCCAGATTTATGCTGAGGATGATGTTTCATCAGAACCTCACAGAACCCTACTTTAAAAAAGAATTACCTAGGAATTAATATTCCTCCCAGCAGGGTAACACTGCAGCAGAGTAACCTCCACCTGATGCACAGGGGAGCTGGGGACCAACTCACAGGGCACCATTTGCCTTTACTATCAAGCTGCTCAGTCCATCAAAAGAACTTCAGAGTTCAAGACATTTTCTCTGTTTGGATTTGGTGTTTTCTCTCTGTCCCAGGGGCAGCCTGACCTCCTCTCGTGCTCGGCAAGCTTTGGACCTGAGCCCTAGCACCCTGGCGGGCTGTAAAGGGCACATCTCCCTCTCTTTTACAGGCCCTGACCTGTTCTCATCTTCCTACTGCTGGTGACAGCGTATTTGTGTCAGCTGAAGCCCTGGGTTGTTTTAAAGAGGTATTCATAAGAAAACAGAAGCAGACACCACAAAAGTCTCTCCAAGAGGCTTCACCCCTGCCTCAGGCAGATACAAGCATTCAGCAGAGCTAGTTTACAACGGTTCCAAAAAATATAAATTAATAATAATGATAAAATATTAAATAATTTAGTGCTATAGTTTTCATGCTCCCCCAAGCGGCCTATTCTAGCTTCTTCCAGACAGATCTTTTCAATGCTTTATCAACAGCTTCCCTGCCATAGCTTACATTTATATTAATAGGCCTGTCCTAATCAATACAAGCATTCCTCCTTTTTGGAATATTCCCTGCCTCTTTTCCCCCAGTCCTTCTTTCCAAATAAAAACAAACTCAATAGATTTTTGTTATCCTTCTGCCCTCTGGCCCTATCAGTTGTCAACATCTTCCTTGAGCTAAAGTGCCAAAGCTGAATTACTGTATTTTGGCACAGGCTCTCTCCTGACTAGCACCACAGTCCCTCTGAACCACTCTCTCAGACTAATTTTAAAACTGTACATAAAATACTGTTTACAAACAAAACTCCAGCAAACACTGAGTATTTTGAACAGGAAATTTCACATGTACCAAAGTCATTTTCTTTTCAAATTGTTAGTTAGGGTAAAAAAAGGCAGCTTGCCACATAAAGTTCAGTAGCTGTAAGTGCAGGCCAAGAAGAGACCTTCAAGAATAACTGTTTCTCCTAGTAACCAAGAACTAGTTAGCAGTGCTCAAACATTAAATCAGTTCTATGATAATTAGGCAGACATTAGGCAGATATATCAGAGCAGCCAGTTTTATTGGGAGCAATAATATCTACAGAAACTGGTATTATTTTTAAGGTACCAGTAAAATTTTATCACCAAAAAGCAAAACTTGGTGGTCAGGTAATGTATAAATGTCTTTTGGTATTGCAACAGGGCAAGTGCTGTTCTCCATAAAGCTCTGGTAACACAAGCAACAGTAACTCAGGCACTAGGAGTAAATCCTGCTGTGAAATCCCTCCTGCTGTAAGCCCTGGGGGAGGTTGTGTCAGTCAATAAAAAGCACACACAGGATTGTACAGGAAGGCTGGACACAACATGTCAGGTTTTTATTAACCAAAAGTGAAGCTGAACCCCAGAGTAGTTTAATTTGTTAAAACCATTTGCTTATATGGCAAGTATTTTCCTTTCATATTCAACACTGTAGTGCAAGAACCAAACTTCACAGCTGTTCATCCTTTGAGAATCAAGTACTAAATGTAAAATCAATTAAAACAAGGGTCCCTCAATGAATTAATAAACCCACCCCCCATTCAACTCAAAAGAACAGAGCAATTTTAAGAACTGATTTATGAAATTCTCCCAAGTGAAAGACCTTTAAAAGCACTTGGAGCCTTGAGGTAGCAACTTCATGCAGAATTTAATTCCCCTCCTGCCCCACAGAGCAGAGGAGAACGAGTGGTGCATTATTAGCTCCAGCCAGCTTAGCAGAGTCAAGTGTCCTCCTATGAGGTTACCAACTTTCTCTTGCATCTTGAAATAGCAGTGTAGTGCTGCAGACCACCAGGAGGAAATCCACAGGGAAGGACTCTCGAAATAAAACATGGTTTGAAAAAAAAACAACAACTAATAATCAGGAATAACCATAATGACAAAACTTATCTGGAGTGGGGAAAAAAACACAACAAAACAAACAAAACAAAGAATTTGTATTTTGGCAAGACTAGTTTACAAATGCATGTCAAGAACAAGAGTCTGCTTTCAGCCAAAGGAAAAGAAAGAATGGAAGTGACATTGAAACAGGTTTAGTTTTTTGCCCTCTGTGCAAAACTGCACTTTGTTTTTAAAGTTTTGTTTTAAAGTTTTGCTCTTTTGTTTCATAAAGACAGCACTTTTGCCCTTTTTTGTTCTTTTACCTTGGGAAACCTGTGCTGTGACATGAAACAGAAATACCACATGCCAGGATAGTTGACCACCAAAAGCTTCTCTCACTGACTGCACAACCACAAGCAGGGAATCACAAACGAGAAACTTCTTTCCCCCCCCTCTAAGTCTCTAACACATTATCCTCTTTGCCCACTTTGCTGCTGAGTTATTCTGCTGCCAATTTCAGACACTCCACAGTGGATTTACTGAACACTGAGCAGTAACAACAAAAACCTGGGTTTGTTTTCCATGACAGTTGCAATGAACTGACATGATGAAAAGGAATCAGCTGAGCTACAGTGATGCAGACAGGTCTTTACCAACAGCTCCACTCCCTGGTTTTGGAATTGCCACTCACATGCCTTCCAACTCTGCTCACTGCTGGTGCTCTAATCAGACACCTGGCAATGCTGACTAACTTACTACAAGCTTCTCTATCTTCACACTCCAAAACTGTACAGAACAAGTTGGTTAAACAAGACCACACTAATCAGGTACATTGCAAATTATACTTTTCAAAAGGAAAAGCCTTCTTACAGGCTCATTGTCTTTCAGTTCAAGGTCAGGCTGCCTCGTCACACCACCAAGTGATGTCTCATGGGTCCTGGCTGCAGGATGGCATTGCCCAGCATGCCTGAGCTTCAGGGAGCCTAGATATAAGTAAAACTTCAAAACTTCTTGCTTGCATGGGATCCCAACATTTTTACTATTAATTATCATTCCTTTCCTTTGACCTCTAGAAGCCATCAAATCCTCTCTTCCAGGTAGAACTACCTTACAAATCTAACATGAGCCTTCTGTGGTTTTTTGGTTAAGCTTCAGAACAACTGCCAGTGTTTGCATATGCTGAGGTACACAATCCTGTCCTGCAGAGAACCAAAGGCTGTAAGAACCAGAATGCATCTGTAAGCAGCCAAAACTGCCAGGCTCCTCTCCATAAAGGAGGATATTCTGCCTAGAAGCAACAAAGGCCAGATGATGATTATTCACGGCAAGTTTCTCTTTAACTCATGTGACAGTTTAGGCAGCACAGAAATTCATATCACTTCGGAGACCAGTTTATGTCTCGTTCACTGGACAGTCACAAGGTGGCTTCAAAAAGACTCTTGTCTTGGGGCTAAAAGTATCTTGAAGTTTTATCTATTATCAATGCAAGGACCTGATAAGTGTGTTTTTTCATTTGTCTCCTTTTTTGTTGTTGTTTTGATTTTGTTTGTTGGTGGGTTTTTTGTTTATTCTGTAATCAAAATAATTATTTTTGTCTTTGGTGTTAAACCTTGGAAGCATGAATGAAATACTTGATGCTGCTTTGGCTGTAATTTACAACAACGAAAACAGCCCAGTAAAGCAAAGGAAATTCAATGTTCTAAAATACATGCAGTTAGAACAGCCACTAGACATCACAACCCAGACTTTAATAATATGGAAACACCTAGTTTGTCCATTACAAATAATTTGTATTATATAAAAATATTACTTCAATTACAATAACTGGACCACAGGCAAACTTACCAAGTTTCCATCTTACTCGTGTTTCAGGAACTGTGAGGAGCTCACCCATTTAGGGGAAAAAACTGTCTAGTAATCATCTTAGAGTTGCAGCTAAGCCTCTTGTGCCTTAGAGAAAAGTGTCCACTGTGATAACTAGAAGCAGGAACTCAACATTAGGATCCTTCTCTTCTTGCTCACACGGCCAGGAATAAAAACAGCAGGTTCTGTCACACTAGCACTCACAATTAAAACTTTATAACCCCATAAAACACCAGTAAGTTTTGCATGAGCTGCAGAAGAATGCAAATTCAAAGGGTCATGTCTGATGGGAGGGATCCCTCAGATAGCAACAGGCAACACTTCTGCCGAATTGAATGACGGATTGAAAACTGAACAGACACCTTCTGTAATGGTTCTGCTGGACCTTTTTCCCAACATACAACTGTACATGTGGTATGCAGCATTCTGCTCTATGTAGCTGCTCTTGGTTTATGCTTTATCAACAGAACTGTGGCCATAATCAACCGTATAATTACCAGCATAATGATTGTAGGGTTTTTGATACTGATCTTTATGGGGGCACTGTATGTGTACACTTATGGTACAGATCCTAAAATGAATGGAACTGTCCATGTTGGTAATGGCAGTAGCAGGTTCAGTTTTACCTCTCCGTTTTCTCTCAAGCTGAATCTCCCAGCTCTTGATCTGAGTAGCACTGTTGCAGTAGGAATGCTTCTGCTGGATGTTTATAATGTATTGTGGATGTGTCGGGTGAGGTGATGTTCTACTCACTGCCAATCCCCCAAAGGCAGTGCTGCTGCTACCACCACTGATGCTACTACAAAAACAGCTGCTTCTGTGAAGATTAAGTCCACTCCCATTCAAATCAAACTAGTTAGAGTTAATCCTGTGACCAGGAGCAAAGCAAAGGCAAAAGGCCATCTGAGACGTCCAGAGTTTCTTCAAACAACATTAGAGACTGAAATTGAGGAAGCAGACAATTCTACATCAGGTGATGGAGAAGGTACCTCTCAAACAGGTAAAGAAGCAGGCCCTCTCAAGCAGATAAAAAATCAGGCCACTCTCCAGCAGATAGAACAGCAGGTCCTTCTCAATCAGATGACAATGGCCTTGTCCAGCCTTTCTCTGTGAAGGAGCTGTGCCTCATGAGAAAGGGCTTCACCTGCACTGATGGTGAGGGAATTCTTCCTTGGCTGCTCCGACGCTTTGATAGTGGTGCTGAGACCTACAACGTGGATGAGAAGTCAAGCAGTTGGGATCCCTGGCCAGAGATGCTGGTATTGACAGAGCACTTAGTAGTAAGGCGGGAACTACCACCCTGTGGGACCAACTTCTGTCAGCTGTGAGAGAGAGAGACCCCCACAAGGGTGACATCGAATGGTGCTGAAGCAGAACACCCACTCTTGAGAAAGCCATCATGTATTTGAGAGAAACAGCTGTGTGAGAGGTGATCTATGATAAAGATGGACTTACAAATCCTGATGTTCTGTGTGACTCACAAATGTTCCGGAGGTTTTCTCAGGCTGTATCAGCAGCACGTGCCCACATCTTCTCCTTCATGGGATGCACTGATGACGATGCAAGACCAACTGTGCATGAAGAGGCTTTCAAAGAACGACAGTATGGAGACATGATCTCTGATTCCCATCAGTTCCACACCTCAGCCATTGAATGAATGACTGGCAGAAAGAATAAGATGCTGAACAGATGGGAAGGTAATCCCAGTATCTCCTTAGAGACAACTGGTCATGTGTTGCAGCCATTAAGAGGAGACATCCTGCTACGAGACAGCAGCAAGAGACAGGACCCACTGCAACAACACCTGTGAGGTCTCTTGAAAAATTATTTTAAAGAGGACATGAGAACCTGGGACAATAAACCCACTGCTGTTCTCCAGATACACGTGCAAGAGCTACTGAATAGAACAAAGGCAGGAGATGTTTTTTTCACAAAGAAAGCTGCAAACTCCACTGACTGGTTCTCCATCTAGGATGGTGCTTCAACCTCAAATGCTCAGCATCAGAGGTGCCCTGCCTCAGGCCAGGAGGAGGAGAGGGACAACAGAGTTTACTGGACTGTGTGAGTTCGGTGGCCTGGCACATTAGAACCACAAAGGTATAAAGCCCTGGTGGGCACTGGTGCACAGTGCACACTAATGCCATCGAATCATAAAGGGACAGACTGTCACTATTTCTGGAGTGACAGGGGGATCTCAACAACTGACTGTAGTGGGCCTCACTGGAAAGGAGTGGCAAATGCACCCTGTAGTGACTGGCCCAGATGCTCTGTGCATCCTTGGCATAGACTGTCTTTAAAAAGGATATTTCCATGACCCAAAAGGGCACCAGTGGGCCTCTGAGGACACTGAGCAGCTGCATACTTTGCCTGGCCTTTCAGATGACCATTCTCTAGTGAGGTTGCTGAAGGTTGAAGACCAACTGGTGCCAATTGCCACTTCAATGATGCACAGACAACAATATTATACCAACAGAGTCTTTGTGATCTCCATTCATAAGATGATCTGGCAATTGGAGAGCCAGGGAGTGATCAGCAGGACTCGCTCACCCTTCAGCAGTCCTATTTGGCCACTGCAGAAGCCTGATGGCCAGTGGAGGCTGACAGTGGACTATAGTGGCCTGAATGAGGTGACACCACCACTCAATGTTGCTGTGCTGGACGTGCTAGAACTTCAGTATGAGCTGGAGTCGAAAGCAGCTAGGTGGTATGCCACTCTTGACATTGCTCATGGCCTCTTCTCTATTCTTCTGGCACCAGAGCGCAGGCCACAGTTTGCTTTCACCTGGAGGGGAGTCCAGTACACCTGGAATCAGCTGCCCCAGGGGTGGAAACACAGCTCAACCATTTGCCATGGACTGATCCACACTGCACTGGAGAAGGGTGGAGCTCCAGAACACCTGCAGTACATTGACAACATCATTGTGTGGGATGACAAGCTAGAAGAAATTTTCAAGAAAGGTAAAAATATCATTGAAATTCTTCTGGATGCTGGTTTTGCTGTAAAAAGAAGTAAGGTCAAGGGACCTACAGGAGAGATCCAGTTCCTGGGAACCAGGTGGCAAGATGGACATCACCAGATCCCAATGGATGTGAAGGGCTGGGGGGAGGCAAGAGGCTTTTGCACATTCCTGAACACATTTGTATGTAATTGTACATATTTTCTTTTATCATTAGTGTTCAATTAAAGCTGTCTAGTTTAGTTTTCAATCCAGAAAAATCGCTCCACAATTTTGCCTCTCTTTCCC